AAAAATTGTTTTTTGCAATCGATATTTTCATTGATGAACGCTAATAGTAGCAAGTTCATTAACAAAGCGGGTATAATAATTAGGCCTATACTAAAAACTTGTATTTTTTGTGTGAAACGGATGTTCTTTTAATTACACATCTAGCTTGTTATTTTCTAATTTAGGTTGTGAAATTACTTTTTTCCATTCACTTTGTATAGCATTTGGAAGTGTAAAGTATTCAATTATACAGTTTTCTTTCTTTAACAATGTGGGAATCAGCTCCTCAGCTGTTAATAATCTGTTATGCACCATAATACAATTTGTTTTGCACCATAATCTAACGAAGATTTGAAATGAATTGATTCACCACCTGAGGTTATGTATTTATGTTTCTTATATGTATCCTTTAGAATATAGAGTATGCATGGCGCAGGTTAACCTATATAGTCATATTTCTTTAAATATAATGCCTACATTCTATATGAATATGCTTTTTGCTTGCATACGATTTAATGACATTCACGCTTCACAACCAGAATGCATCTGTGAGATCAAGCGACAAAGGTTATGGGAAAATAAATATATTACCTCAAATGGTAAATCTCTTTTCACTGAAACATGGATAGATTGTAATTTTAAAACCATGGGGGATATTATCAAGTAGAACAAATTTAAAACCGTGAAGGAGATTATTCCTCACCAGCTAAGTCTCACGATGATGATGGAGTTATACAATATTTTGCAGTTCTAAATGTAATTCCCCAAAGGTGGTCAGAAATCATTGTAAATGATTCTTGTTGTTTAAATCACAAAGTCAATGAGTGTAAAACAAATTACGAACAGATCTTAAGTAAAAACCGTGTTAAAGATTTGTATTTATCCTTTATAAATTCAAAATATATCACTCCAGGTGTTCAATACAAGTGGGAAAGCGACTTGCAGACAACTACAATTGAATGGGAACGTTGTTGGAAAAATAAAGTTTCTAATATGTTACATTTGAAAAATATAGCCCAATTTAATTATAAACTCTTACATAGAGTAATTCCAACAAAGAGTAGGTTACAAACATGGAACATGTCTGCCAGTAATAGTTGTGAAACCTGTAATGTTATAAAAAACGAACAACACATACTGTTCAAATGTAGAGATGTACATTTCTGTTGGTCTAATGTTAGTATAATGTTAGCATCTTGTTTTGAAATGACTTATAAAATTCAATGGTCTAAAGTCGTTCTTGGAAATTATCAGAAAAGTGTTAACGAAATAATTTCTATGCTTACCTTCTGTATATACAAAAGTAAAATGTTAAAACGATTAAGGTTGGAGATAAAATTCCCATGGCAAATGTTCCTAAACGAACTAAAAGCTTTAATTGAATGTGAATTTATAATTAACAAAGAAAATGCAAAAAAAAAAGGTCAAATATTAACCTTAAAATGTTAGAAACAAATTTTAACATACAGATCAAATCGGATGTATATGATGTATTAACTGACTGATTTATTGGATGGATATTCAGTAAAAAAAAATCAAACAAAAAGTAAATCTATATATGTATGTATGGGTATATGTGTGTAGATATGCTTATGTAAGTATAAGGATATGTATATGTGTGATTATGTATACGTAATATGACCTCAATATTGCATGTACAGAACACTATTGTTAAATAAGCTATTTGCTATGATTGACTATATTAATTATTATTATTATTATTATTATTATTATTATTATCATTATTATTGTTATTGTTGTTATTATCATCATCGTCATTATTAGTATCATTATTACTATCATACTTTCGTGACCGTTGGGTGATTATGCTTTGTTGCATTGATTGTTTGATGGGTGGAGTAATTAAATTACTGTATTAATTGTATAATGTTTAGAAATGGAAAAAAAAATGTGTAAAGGAAATAGAATAATACTAATTTAAAATAAGTGATAAATATGTCAATAATAACAAAACAATATTTATGTTCAAATCAAGGAACAAATAAAAGTGGGACGACCCCACAAAAGAGAAAAAAAAAATGTATTTATGTTCCCATATTTGTTTTGTTTTAACCCTATACATTGTATGTCAGTGGATCTAAACTGGCAGTATTAATCACCACTGCATTTAACATTATTTTATAGAAGTCGGGCAAACAATTCAAATCAACATGGTCGTCAGAAACTTAATTTACTAACATTTACTGTGTATTAAATTGTATACATATAACACTTCGGCATACATTTCCATTTAATGAGGCTATGCAATATAACTTAATAAATCAAATAAAAGAAAGTTATATTTTTTTATATTCTTTACAAAAATATTGAATTTCTTTGTTCATTTATTTACAGGACTAGATTCGTTGAGAGCTATGCTACACTATGTATTATTATGTCCTTTATTCGAACACTGTATTTACTTTTTTTTGAAGATTTATATATAATTTAATATTGTTAACGGCTATCTTGATTCATATGCAACTATTTTTTTTCTAGCCGTAACTATTGTGTAATGGAATGTATCTGTAGTATTTAAATCTGTTTAAACTTAAAGCCTCCGTAGTCTAATGGTTATGACGCTCCCCTTGACAGCTAGATGTTGCAGGTTCGAGTCCCGCCAGAGACATCTTATTACACAATTTCTTTATTCATTCATTTACAGGAATACATTCGTTGAGAGCTAAGCTACACGATGTATTATTGTCCTTTATTTGAACATCGTATTTACCTTTTTTTAATGATTT